TGTGACAGCGGGCTTCTCAGAAGAAACCACAATGGCTTTCTTAAGTGCCAGGACATTTGTGGACCCCTAGGGAAAGGGGAGCCCCAATGATGACTAAAATTTAATGTCATCTCCCCGGAAGCTCAGGGTCAGATTCAAGTCGATGCAAATGCAGCATTTCTTGTGCACCCAGGTTTTCAGCCTGAGATTCAACCACACTTTACTCCAACACTTAAAATAATGTCCCAAAAGCATTAGAAGGAAATAGAAGGAAATCTCCCAAGCCCCATTGCCTCTTGTTCCAACCCTTTGAAAAGGACACTTTCAGCACTTGCATCTCCCATCAGCCCCTCAGAGACCATCCCGCTGGGCTCTGGGCTGTACCTCAGGGTGGACACGTGCAAACTCATGCCAAGGCTGGGGAAGGCAGAGCTAGGAACCAGTGGTAGCTGCAGTTAGTTCCATGGACGAGATAGAGGCCTGGAGAGGGGGTCTGAAGGCTGGAATGCTAGCCCAAAGGCTTTTCCCACGGAGACGGATGAGGAAAAGAGCATGATGGTGTGTGTGGCACTGCATTAATGGAGCCGAGACGGAGGAGGTGTACAAGCCCTCAGAACGGCATTTATCCTGGGTATTGAAAAGCCTCTGGGCCCATCAGAGACCCACGGGAGACCACCTGCTGGGTGGTTCACCTGTGTTAAGCAGCATCTGGGGTTGGGTGAGTTTGAAGGAAGGGCAAGGTTCTAAGGTAGACTTAGACTTACAGTCCCCGAGACCGTAGACCAGAAAAGAACTTACAGGAACCTGCATTGATTAAGCCCTACCACGTGCAGACACTTCACACTCATACAGGCATCAACCCATTTAACTCTCATGCTGGTTCCCATGTAAAGATGAGGAAACTGAGGCAGAGGGATTAAGGCCCCAGAGCCACCCAGCTATGGTGTAGGACTGGAATAAGCTGGCCTGTAAACATGTCTGTGATGAAGACTTTGTAAGCAAAGTAGAGGATGCTATGAGCAAGAACAAAAGAGTCCTTCTTTAGACAGAATGACAAGGGACGATCTCCCTGAGGAGTTGTTTGAGCTGAGACTTGAAGAAATCAGCCAAGTGAAAAGTGGAGAAAAACTATTTCAGTGAGAAAGAATAGCCTGTGTGAAAGTCCTGAGCCAAGAAAGAATCTGACACGCCCAAGGAACACGGCCAGTGTGTCTGGAGCATTTTGAAAAGGAAAAGGGCTTGGGGAAGACACTGGATCATGCAGGTCCTTGCAGGCCATGGCAAGGAGTTCAGATTTCATCCTATGCACCAGGGGAAGCCACCGGAGGGATTAAGTGACAAAATGACACAGTCTCATTTACTCAGAGTCTAGCACAGAGCTTGTCACACAGAAGGGGATCAGTAAATGGTGGTGGAACATCTGAATAAATGGACTCCAACTAGATTTCCAAATGAATGGAAACTGCTGGCTTCACAGAAGGAAAAGTAAGATTTCAGCCTTCGCCCATGAGAAGAACAAACAATTTCACTTAATCCAAATTCACTTTCATGCCTCTCTGCCTAAGAAGCACGCAGAGCCACTGAAACCCACAGGAGCATCATGACAGAATAATTTCAGTGATCATTATCAAATGCCTCTATTTGGAAAAACTCAGAAGATTGTATTAGCACAATCCAATATTTATGAAATGACACTCGGCCATAATGATGGGCTGAGAAAATTAGCATTAGAAGCAAAAGGTGTTCCTTTGGGCAGAGAGAATGGCATGGTGGGAAAAGCAGTGATGTCACTCAGCTTCTCAGAACCTTGGTTTACTGATCTGTAAAATGGAAGGACAGAAGCGAAGATTAAGAATGTGTGATCAGTTAATAGAGTGCCCAAAGGTATTTAATCATGTTTATGATTCATTTCATCATTTAAAAAACACTTGACGAAGCCTATTTGCCCATCCATCCATGCATCCATCCAGCAAAATGTTATTTAGTACATACTGTGTATGATGCATTGTATTAAATGCTGAAGATAAACCTGGGAACAAGACTGTCATGGTCCCTATTCACATAGAGCGTCTCATCTGGGGGTAAAACACACATTGAACAAATAACATCAGCTGTGATGTGTGTTACCCAGGAAACGTGCAGGGTGCAATGGGAAACATTTCCAGAGAGAGCTGACCCAGACCAGAGTATCTAGGGAGCACTATCCTAAGGATGCGACGTGATGTTTAAGCTGAGACATGAAGGGAAAGTACAAGAAAACAGAGTGGAAGGAAAGGTTCCACGGAGAGTGCCAATCTTATTTGAGTTCCTGAGGCGGGAAAGGGTCTGGAACATTCTAGGAACTCATAGAAGCCAGTGTGAAGTAAGCATGGGGGTGTGGAACTTGGTGAGGCTGAAGGAATAGGCAGAAGCAGCCCTGTAAGGCGTTGGAGGCCACAGCAGGACTTTGGTCTTCTTTCTCAGAGCAATAGGAAACCTCAAAAAGACTCTAAGCAAACCTGGGTGGGGGCAATGAAGGGAAGAGGCAACATGAACAAGCCTGTATTCTAGAACAATCTCTCTGGCTTCTGTGTGGAAAATGGATTAAAGTCAAAAGAGGAAGCCAAGAAGTCTTTTAGAAAGGATACCAGTCACCCAGGCAAGAGCTGGTGGTGACCTGTACCAGGATAGTGGTGGCAGAGGCGGAGAGACGTGGGCAGACTTGAGATGTACTCAGGAGGTAAAGTGGCAGGACAAAGCGATTGACAGGAAGACAGGGGAGGAGAGGGAAGAGAAAGTTGACCCCCGGGTTTCTGAATCGGCACTAGACTGGATGAAGTGGCTTTTCCTGAGACGAGGGCCACTGGAGAGTGAGTGGATGAGGGGAATGGATGAATCAGGAGTTCAGTTTTGAGATGTTGCGCTTGGAGAGCCAGTAAGACCCTATAGGGTTTCAGGTGAGCTAACGACGAGCAGAACCAGCATACGTGTGCGTGTCAACACTCACACACACACACACACACACACACTATAAGATCTGGATGTACTTCGCCAACACCAAAGATGGCCGTGCAGAGCAGAGCAGATGTGGTTTGTTTCAGCACAGGTGCTTTGGACTCTTGGGGTCCCTAACGGAATGAGTGATTCTATCACCTAAATCAAGACACTTTTGAGAGTAGAGTCAGCATGGTTAAAAAGTATGATGGGGCAACAGGCAAAGAGGTCATGATCACCTTACTAATGGGCATGTGTAGTCGTTGGTGACTCTGCTCATGCAAAAAGATCCAACCAGATCTGAAAAGCTCAATTTTGTAGCACAGCTTTATTATGCCTGGGGCTTGAGTCTACACTCAGGGGGAATTTATACAAACAATTTATTCCCTTAATAGGAACTACAGAGAGCCATCCAGAAGCCTCCTGCTTTGGAGCCAAACTCAAAGTCAAAGAGGCCACACCCTCACTTAGACATTTCTGAGCATCTTCTCTGTCTCCAGCTTAGTGGCATCCTGGAAAATCCCTCTCCCCAGAGGCAGCCAAGAAGACATGACAGCTGGGCTGTGGGTCTTGTAGTTCTAGAATTTGTAAGAGATGTCTGATGGCAACTGAAGCCCAGTAGCTGAGGCTATCCATGGAGTGATGGTTAATTTTATATGTCAACTTGACTGGGCTGAGGCATGCCCAGATCTCTGGGAGAACATTATTTCTGGGTGCGTCTGTGAGGGTGTTTCCAGGAGAGATTAGCATTTGAATTGGTGAACTGAGTAAAGCAGATAGGCCTCCTCAATGTGGGTGGGCATCACCCAATTCCTTGAGGGCCCAAATAGAACAAAAAGGCAGAAAAAGAGCAAATTCCCTCTCTCTTCTTAAGCTGGGAGGCCCATCTTCTCCTGCCCTTGGACATGGGAGCTCCTGGTTCTCGGGCTTTCAGACTCAGATCAGGGCTCTTAGCATCAGCCCCTCTGATTTTCAGGCCTTCACACTTGGTCTGAATTATACCACCAGCTTTCCTGGTTCGCCAGCTTGCAGACAGCAGATGGTGGGACTTCTTGGCCTCCATAATCATGTGAACCAATCCCTGTAAGTCTCCTCTTATGTGTATCTCTCTGTATGCTATTGGTTCTGTTTCTCTGGAGAACCTTGACTAATACACGTGGAAACAGTGTAGAAGAAGCATGAAGAACTCCAATATTTAATGGCCAGAGTGAGCTGACAGAGGAGACTGAGAAAGAGCGCCAGGAGGCATTGGTAAAAAACCAAGACGGTGTGCGGGTCAGAGGGAGCCTTTGGTCAGGGAGGAACCATAGAGGATAGCCTCCCTCTTCCAACAACTAATTGTCTTTACAACTGCACCAGGGATCACATTACCCAGAGGTGATCTTAATGTCCCCAGAGTTGCAGCTCTTCCTGGTTTAGGTCACCAGGCAAGCCTCTTCAAGATTCAACTCACCCAGGCATACCCCACCCTAAATGCGTTCTCATGAGTATACCTCCTCCAGGTGTCCGTTCCCTAGGATACATCAGACGGAACTCCCATAGGCCTAGCTCACGCAGGTATCCATCAGGAGTGTACATTAGGCCTTCAGCCCCATTAGTTAAGGATAAGCGTGGCATTCAGGATGTCAGGACATTGACTTTATGAGTAATATTTGGACTATAGAAATTTCCCTACATATATACAAGCTGCGTCTATGTGGCCTGGAAGGAAAGGAACAATCTCAAATTCTTCAGAAGCTCTTTCTTCCCCTAAAATCCCACAACTTTCAGGCTCCCAAGTAAAACCCAGTGATGCCCTACTTGTAGCCAAAGCTTAGATCTCAAAGCTAAAAGCAATCCTAGAGGTCCCTGAATCCAAGTGGCATATGATTCCTCCACATCCTTAAGAATTCATTCAGGTATTGGTTTGCATACCTCTGAGGATGGGGAACTCACTACCAACAAAGTTATCTATTGCCTTCTCAGACAGCTCAATCCATAAGAAAGATGTTCCCCACAAGTCATTGTAAAAGCTACCATCACAGCCCCAAACACAGTGGGTCACGTACCTGTAGGCACCGCTGGGTCCAGCATTGGTTTCTCCCACGTGTTAATCTGCTCCCAGGTAAACCCATTGGTCCCCAGGGCCACGCTATAACCACAGTTGCTGTAGTGCTCATCAAAGGAACAGCCGCCTGCAGACAAAAGAGAGATGGGTAAATACATCCTCGTGTCTGAGGCTTGGTTCGTTAACCCTGTCTCATCGGCTCTTCATTTACAGCTTTGAATTTTAAACTCTGGAGAAGATTAAAAAAAAAAAAAGGCGAGCAAATTGGATTTCTATATTTGCTTTGGCACTCTCAGGAAAGGCGCTGGCATCTGCAGGTCCCCCTATTTAAAAAAGTTAATAAGGCTAGTTACATTGATTTCAATCTTCCTTCCTGAGAAAGTAAACAACAACGACTCATTCTAAGTAGGAAAAATGAATGCCAGGGCATGCCTCAGTAATTGCTGCCTGCAACACGGAGAGATGCCAAGAGGCAGCAGAGAGCACTAGCTTTGGAGTCTAGCAAAACTAGATACAAATCTCAGCTTGCGAAGCTGGGTCAGCTTGAGCCAGATGCTTCACCTGTCTGTGACTCAGTTTCCTCACCTGTAATATGGAGGGAAAGATCCATCTGACAGAAATGTCATGAGGACTAAATGGAATAACATATAAAAAGTAACTGGTGCAGAATAAATTCTCAACGGCCACCTCCTTCCCTGTGAAAGCAATTTTTGAAAAATCGTGTTTCATGGAGTAAAAATCAAACTATGAAGAATGAGACAACCATGCATCTGGCAGGTAATCAGGTCAATGTTGATAGTGTTTAAAGCTTCTCCCTTTAACTTTAAAGTCCAAGCCACCCACCATTTTACAATAAGCTGTGTCAATTCGATTTTGACATGAATTTACTAAGCAAACGCTATGGGCTGTAAGCCCCTCCAGGTGACCCTGAGAGAGATGTGGAGTGTAGAATCAGGGCTCCAACTAGGAAATGCTCCGTCCAGAGAAACAGGAGCCCACGATATTCTGGAGGAGGAGAACTGATCAGGGCTATGAAGGATGTGAGCCTCTCCAGGAGTCAAGAGCGGGAGGAAGGCATCCCGAGGTGACCAGGCAAGACACACAGAGGCAGGGAGGCGGCGCCAGGACTGAGCTCTACAGCAGCCTCCTGAACGGGCCCCCAGACCCATTTCAAAGCCCAGTCCATCTTTTCCACTGCCCTTTCCTGGTCTTCGTGATGCTTAGATTTCATCACATCATATCTCCCCCCCTTAAACACCCATTGGTTCCCCATCACACGTCCAAACGTGGTTCTGATTCGTGTACAGAAACCATCCCTCACTAGCGTCTGCCTGTGTCTGCAGCCTCAGGCAACATCACACCATCATCTCCATCAGCTACAAAGTACAAAACCCCTTCTCTGCACCCCAGACCTGGGATTTCCTATGCTGAGTGGAGGACTTTAATCTGTTGACAGATTTGATACAGACTTTGGTCACAACATTGCTAAACCTGTGATGTCAAAGCTCTCTCCACTATCCTTTCTTGCTGGGTATGGGAACCCAGAAGAGTTGGCCTTTAGCACCCTAATGAGTCTCAAGCCAGGGGAAGGAGGGCTGGACCTATTTCGGGAGGGCAGGGGTTGGGCCTTGAGTTGCGAGTATTAAATAGCTTTGCAGACAGTAACACGAATTTGGGGTGTTTTATGTAGACAGCGAGAGAGAAAAGAAAAGGAGAGGGAGAGAGGGGAGCAAGAAACAAAATGAAAAGCAGAAACCCATAGAAGGTGATGGCCAGTGAGAAATTTCCTGTGATGGGAAGTGGTTGATGCATTGGTAGGAACTAAAATATCTGTTTGCTTTCATTTATTCATTCAGTAGTTCAACAATTATTTAATTGAGCTCTTGGTGTAGATCCAACAGAGTACTAGGTCCTAGCTGTACAGTGGTTTACAAAAGAGCCATGCTCTCATTATTTAGTGATATAGGCTGATAGTAAACAAGTAAACTAATGAACACTCAGTACGTGCTATGAAGGCTGCAGCTGGGGCGGTGAGAGGAACACTAAGTTGAAATGGTACAGGAAGCCTTTCTGACCAGGAACTGGGAACAGGTCCCTGTCTTGTGCTGTAACGTCCCTCCACCACACCCAACTCCTCAGTGAGAGCTGGCTGCACAGGACAGCCATGTGTCGCCGGTGCCTTGGGGAATTGAGGGAAGAAAGGCAATGACCAGTGTGGATTGACAAGGGTCAACAGGCAAGGATGGAAGACCCAGGAGACAAGAGGGAAGGTTAGGAGCAGACGACAGAGGAGATTTCATCCCAGAAATAGTGGAAAAGGATGACCTTTGAAAGGTAAATACAGAGGCAATCAACCGCTTTGTAGTGGAAGTGAAGCTTCCACTAGACAGTAAGCTTCAGAGGAGCTGGGAGCAGTGCTGGCACATAGTAGGGGGTTAATAAACATTTGTTTAATGAATGAACCAATAAATGCTAATGGGATGCCAGACACAAACCAAGCTGTACTCGAGCAACAGGGGCCCACAGCAGTCTCTGAGCTGGACCTGCTCTTTCAAGTCTCATCCTTGTCTCTTCAACCCAGAAAGCTCCTTCCCCACAGTGCCCGTCTGACAAATTCTAAACATCTTCCAAAACTCACTTCTTCTATAAGCCTTCTCTGGCCAGAACAGCAGAGCGAATGCCCCAGATATAAAAACACAACATACTCCATCTAAAAATTAAAAAACAGTAGCAGCAGCAATTCCAGTTGCTCTAAGAGGGCCAACCACCTTTCCCTACATTGCCATCATCTCACCGGAGCCCAGCCTGTGGGAGACGGATGAATTAGGTCAATGGTATCAACAACAGATCCTGATGTGCTGGAATGGATAAGCAAGGGGAGCCTGCAGCATCTCAAGTGTTCATTGGAAGAGCTGACTGAGCATCCTAAACTGAGATGGGCCTCCAGGGCTAGGGAAGGAGAGTGTGGCCAAGACAATGCTATGTGCATGGCAAACTGTTTGGGTCTTCTCTCTTACGCACACAAGAACACTATGTTTCTAGGCCACCTGCGTCTAGGGAAGACCATGTGGTAAACCCTGGAAATATGTCACAAAGTGATATCCACTATTTGCAGGACTAGCCCATCAAAACAATCTCGTACAAGCAATACTTCTCATCTGCTCTGCTGTGAGGACCTTCAAAGTTGTAGTTAACGGCAATGGCATCAAAGGAAGAAAGATTCTAGATCCCTGATCATTGGAGGAAAGTCATCCAGAGAGTCACTTGACTGGTGATATTAGCATTCAACTTTTCAGAAGCAAAATATCAACTTTTCTTGTTTTACACCACTGACATCTTAGGGGTTAGTCGTTAGCATAGCAGAACCTTGCATATCCTGACTAATATAAGAAGCATACTCTCTGGAGCATTTGCTCCATGCCAGGCAATATACTAGGCACTAATTACATATTCTATATCGTTTGCTTTCACTTACTCCTTACAACTTTGTGAAGTAGATTTTTATCCCTACTTTAAGTATAAGAAAGTTGATGCATTGTGGGGTTAAGTGACCTGCTCAGATCCCAGAGAAGGAAAGTGTTGGAGCCAAGATTAAATCCATGGTGACCCAAGTGCAGAACCCATGCTCTTTCTAACAGACCACAGAGAGAATGTATTCCCCCAAATCAAGGACCAAGCCTTTCACTCACAAGGTCATTAGAGGGGATCAGGCAGATAAAGGGCTTCCAAGGTGGTTGGGTCTCTCCCATTTGAATCCATTCCCTCGCTTATTCTAGAAACATTTAACGGAGATCTTTTTTACGAGTTCTGTGCAGGTGCACAGAATCCACAGGTATGATTCTTACCCTCACATAGTTTGCAGAGTAGAGGGAAAGACAACCACACAGCACACACTCAAGGTGCAAAAAACACTTGCATAGAGATGTGATGAAGCTCAGAGACCCCATTCAAAGGATGCTGTCTAACTAGTTATTGATCTACCCACCATCAACTCTAGTCCAGCCATAGTAGACTGATAAACACAGAAGCGGGAAATACAGCCTGTTAAGCATGATGGCAAAAAGCAATTTGAGGACAGGAAAAGAAAGAAAAGCAGGACAGAAGGAGAGAGTTGCAAGTCCATGCTTCAAATTCCTACATGTCCGCCTGCTAAAAAGGAGTTACATATTTGGCTCTGAGCTTCCAGTGGCCAATAGAAAAAGGAAAATCTGTTCGATACTGGCACTCTGCGTTCATACAATAAAAGCCAAATTGCTCAGGAAAATTACAACCATTCCAGGTGCTCAGATCACACAAGAACGTCCCCACAGGGGTACTGGTAACAGAAATCCCATACCCCATAAAGAACAATATCTGAAACAACATCCATATGAGGGGTGCATGGCCAATTTCATGAGGCTATTTCTCATAATCATTCTCACTATAAATTGATAGCATCACCTAAACATACAATTCAGGAAAAGCAACTCGTGGGGCCTAATATGATTCAGTCTAGAGATCTGCTCCCTGTTGGTCTGGATTGACTCAGAAATAAGTTTTAAAAGCTATTCAGGAGAGAAAATATACTTAGAAAGTATTTTTTAAGCAATCCTCCATGAATTTTCTTCCCCTCAACCAACATATTGAGAAACAGAGTGGTTATGAGCTCAAGATTATATACCCTGATGGCAACCTACATTGCCAGCTGCATACAGCCCCCTTTACTCACATTCCTTCCTCATGTCTGAGTCTTCATTTTCTGGTGTGCAAGATGGATCATTAAGGAAACTGCCAGTGGCAAAGGTTAAGGATTCCAGAGACTCCGAAAGAACTAGGAACTCTCAGGAGCCACAGAGATGCAGAGCCATGCCGCCAGGCCAAGGACTGGCTACTGAGAGCCACTAAGGGGAGGAGAAGGAAGGAAAGACAAGCTTCCCGTGGACCCACAGCATGGAATAGTCAAACCCGTGATCCTGAGTCTCATTGCACCTCTTCTAGCTCTTTCAAAAATTACGTTTATCTGTCTTGGTGCCATTCCTTAGGGCCATAACACGTGACAGAAAAGACACCCAGCCATCTCTTCAGGCATTTACACCAGGCTACTTAGGGAAGACTTATGGTTGGAGAGATTTCCAAAAGATACACATT